CAAATCTGATCTTAAATTAGATAATTGTATAAAGTATCATTGTTAAAAGATAAAGGAAAATTGACAATTAAAAAAAAAAAAACAACTGAACGGCTCCCATAAGCCCTCCTACTCTGATCCACAACAAAGTGCAAGAAAAATATTCCTTGAATTAATATAAATGTATTATTGTGTTTGCAGTTTTTCTCTTATTTCTGTGTCTGCCAGTCCAGCCGTCTATGGTCCTGTGCAGTAGTGCACCGTTTTCCCTTCCTCTCTTTTTCCATTTCCCCAAAACAAAATAGCCTAAAGCTCACCGTTGGGCATTGCTGTGGATCAAAAGTTCATTTTGACACATTTGTTCTTGTCTGAATTTGAGCCAGATTTTTTTTTCCTCCCTTCCTCAGTCAGAGACAAGGGGGGAAAAAAAAAGGACGTGTGTTAATACGCTTCTGTCACCTTTGCTAACTCCCATTTATAGCTATTTCACTTTACACAGTAGAAAAAAATAAAAAACATAAAAAAAATTCCCAAAAACTGTTAAATACGTCAACGCTGACATTAGTTTCACGTGACATTTACAACAGGTATTGGTAACAACTCAACTCACAAAAATCAAAAGAAGTTAGTCTGTGATTTAGTCGGTACACCGAATGATTGAACAATTGAACACACTTTCTGAAATGTAACTAATGCATTTCACAGATTTTAGTTTGACCCATTCGTCCACAAAACAGCTTTGCATTGAAGTTTCTGAGGACTTTCTTTATGAACTTTGATCCTCAGTTCATACAGGAAGTGATGTGGATACACCTCAGGTGACTGACTGGTCAACTCTCGCAGTTCTATTTTATTTTCTGAAACCGGCTGAGAGCTTCCTTCTCTCTGTGTGTGTTTGACCACTTTACTATCTTGCTGAAAAATCTAAAGAAAAAAAAAAAGAAACATTTCGTCTTTAGAGTGTCATTATGGATGTTCTGATAAAACCATTCCTTCTTTTTTTCCTTCAGTCATGTTCCATATGTTCAAAGATAACCCATCAAAATGATGCAGTGACCTGCTGACATCACCGTTGCCATGGTGTTTTCAGAATGATGTGTAGTGCCACTTCTCCTCCAAACATAATGTGAAGTGATTTTTAAAAGTTAAAGTATAAGTTGAGCAAATATATTCTCGGTAGGCTTTATGGACAATATTGTGTTCCTCACAAACTTTAACTATAAACTTCCCACATGCTTTTTCTTCTTCAGTGGAGTTTTGAATGGTCAAACACCATTCCAATTGAGCGTATTTCTCATCAACTCCATTACAAATGTGCCCAAGACTTTAATATTCTACTAATGTCAAAAACACACTTGCAATTGCTGTATTTCAGTGAAGAAGTTTATTGACGCAGTAAGTTGCTGAAAACCGTCCGACCAACTACTTCCTGTCGTCTTTTTTCTTTCGTTGATCACATGACTTGTGTGATGCGAAAAAAAGTGTTTCCGTTGCAGTTTTGCGAAATACACAAATTTTGATACGGCCAAAAAAGTCACCTCATCCCAGCACCGAAGCGTTTCATTAAAAAAAATATATATATATTTTCAAAAGTGCCGTGTTTCCATTAGGCACATTTGTTTTCAAAATGTTATATGGTCAGTAGGATTGCAGTTGTTTTTGTAATGGGAGAAATAACTTATACTTATGCTAATTACAGGTCTTAGGTCTTGGAAAGCTCTTCTGATTGTTTTATTATTTTTAACTCATTTATCACAAGTTTAGCAAGGAACAGATGCTCTTTGCTGATTTACGTTGAATTAATCTTGTTTTTTTTAATTCTGGATTATGTTTCTGATGTCGTTCACTGCCATCAGTAGGTTTTGAAAAAACAAGTTTACAAAGTTTACATTTTTCTATATTTTTACCTTTCACCATATGCTTCTCTTCTCACCGCCTGTGTACTTCCACTTTATTACACATAACCTAGTTCACAGACGGTTTGTTTATTCTTTGTGTGGATTACTTCTGTTAACATTTGGTGTGAATTTCATGTCAGTAGCTCAATTACAAACATATTTACTGAGGACAAACATTGACCTCTCTGATGCTTATTTCCACAGCTGTATTTAGTGTGGATAATGACCAGGTGTCATTATGAGCTCCTAAAAACACATCCATTTGTTTTTTATTTTAGTTTTCTTTTTTGGTTTCCAATAAATGTCCAAACTGCCATGCTCCTCCTCCTGCTCTTCTTCTAGCATTTATATTTATCCCTCTACGTACGGGATATGCCATAATTCGAGAGCACACATTTTCAGTCTCAAAACCTTTAATACTTTTGCTTACAGGAAACAAACGCACCCAGTACAACACTTTCATTCGACTGGCTGAGACGCTACCAAGCGAAGGTGCATTTTTGTTCCAAAAGCAAGCAGAAAATGTTTCGTAAGCGAGCAGAGAGTTTTGAAAGTGGAGACAAGTTCTGAGTTCGAGGAGAAACATTACAAGTTTTGAGAAGAAAGACATGAAATCCTGCTTTCAAAATGAAAACTTAAGAACAAGTATTAAAAGTTTTGAGAACAAAAGACATGAAATCCTGCTTTCAAACTGAAAATGTGTGCTCTCAAATTATGGCAGAAAAATTCCCCCATATTTACGCCCTTCTCCACATGTTCTCAGGTTCGATATCCTAGTGACATCACAATCAGCCATCTTCCTTCCCATTCAATGTAACTTGCTTTTCTTCTTTATTTTCTGTTTCCCTCATGTGACCCCCCCTATCTTCTAACCTTTGCTTATCGCCAAAGGCCTCGTAGGCCGATGGAGATAAAAATACTCGTCTTGGTTCCTTCTACTTAATGTCTCTCCAGCTCTTGCACCAGCTCCATCCTCTATAACTCACAGGTTATGAAAGCAGATGGTGACCTGCATTAATGTGCTGTGACATTTAAGTTGCCTGAGCGCATTTCACTCCAGTTTCCCATGCCTCCTCGCATGTTCTTGTATTATGTTGACTGTTGATCGACTCATCCCTTTACACTTAACCACACGCGTTTGATATTTTTGATTGAAGAACCGCTTAATGAAGACTTTCTGCCATTTACTCTTTTGATACGCGACACAATGTACAGAATGAATTAAGGTTGTTTTCTTTGCTGCGTTCAGAGCTACAGAAGTGTCAGGCTAATATAATCATAATGTTGATTTTAATAGCATTAATGCACCTGAGTGCAGTTCACAACTGTTCATAACCATGAAATGCAAGTATTGGATAGAGGCTAAATATTGGCAGATGCTCGAGACTGGCTCACTTCTGTTGAATACTGTACAATCTCAGGCTGGGTTGGGAAATCTGTTTTCTTTTTATTTAGCAAAACTGCTGAGTCGAGAAAGCCTTCAGATGTTTGTTCCAAGATCACATCTTTTAAGAAAGTTATACTTTCACAAAAATGTAGAAAGCACATTGTGTTTTTTTAACTGTAAAACAGTCAAAATGGTGATATGAAAACATTTTGTTTGACAGATTTACTTTGATATCCAGTTCAGATTGTGTCGTAATGTTCGGAGTCCAAGAAAACCCTCTGAAAAACCTTTTTACCTCCATTAAACTCGGCTGAATTCGGCCACTTTGTGGTTCTACTCTCTCTATACAATTAAAAAACAGTCAACCAAAGGCGAAACCGATTTCAATTTGTTAGTGGAGCATTTTGCTTTAGGCAGGTTTTAAAAGTTTCCATTTAGTTCCATGTAAGTTTCCATTTACGTCAAATTGATTTGGAACATTTTTTTTATTACAATCAGGTGCTGCAAATCAATTTAAGGGCTGCAGATGGCTTCACTTTAGACACTACGGAGCTAGAGAGCATCTCTGGCAGAAGGAGCGTTTCAGCTCCTTTTCTCAGACCTGCTACCTCAACGACTGGGCTTGTATGGATGGAAGATTTGTATAAATCTGGTATAAAAGATCATATACTAAGAGTAACAACATATGGTGTTAACTATGTCGTATTAATTAAAACAGGTATAGTAAATACTAACATTTAAGCTGTATTGAAATTCTGTTGAATAATGTTAATTATTTTTATTTGCTCAGATTGCTCAGTTCTGGTGTTTGTTTTCAAATTAATATAAAACACTCTTTTTATCTTTAACATTACTACATTTTTTTGCAGCATTTGTTAGCAAACAACCTGCTGCAAGCTGTGAATATTTTCCATGTTTGTGCAAAACTCTTCCATTACTGTAAATAGATGCTTCCCTCCCTCCTTCCTTATAATCTATCAACTTTTTTTTCTTCCAGTTTGAATGTCAAATCTAAGCAAGTGAGTGAATAAATAATAAATGACCTCACTTGTCAACAATCATGAACTATTCCTGCTGTGAACTATTCTCAAAGCTGAAGCTGGTCCACACCGTCTTCCTGGCACCACACAGAGACATTCACTGCATACTTAATCAGACCAATTTCAGTTTTAAACTGGAATGGAAATCAGCCATAAACAGGGCTGGGTGACGCGGACGTAGAATGTTGAATGTTATCATGATATTTTGTAGTACTATCACAGTAACGATAAAAACGTAACAAATATGCTTTTTCAAGGACACCAGTCACGTAAATAAGTGTGATCTGTATCACTAAGCTGCACACAGTCACTGCATTTAATCACATGTTCAAATGTGTTGATATTCGTTGATACTGTCATGGAACAAACGGTAGAAAATGATAAAACTAACAATCACGACAATGCAAACTGTTTTGGGTTTTTTAAGACATAGTTAATTGAAATTTATCGATAAATCAGAGTCATTTATCACGATAAATGATAAACGATACAATAAATGTCCATCCAAAGCTATAGGTACCGAGGAATATTGAGCCAGACAGAATTTCTACAAATATGTACAATTAATCAGTACTCCCTGTTTAACTTGGTTTTCCTTGTGAGTTTCTTTTCTGTAAATATGTAAAAAATAAAACAAAACAATAAAAAACCTACTTACATTTTCTTCTCTCTCTCTTTTCTCTTGTTTTTGTCCAGGGGAAGTGTTGCTACCGAAGCTCCTTGGACACAGGAGCCAGATCAAATTGGACATAGACCTCTAGATACTCTTGAAAGAAAAAAAAAAAAAAACAATTTTGGGAGGGGTAAAATATTACCCAGCATTCAGAGTCTGAAAGAGTTTCACTTTACCAAAGAAGTTAGAAGACTGTAACCAGGAGGCGGTGTTCTCGAGCGGACAGGACGTCTCCACCTCTGCATGTTTTGATTTAACTCCAGCTCAAGTAGAGGTGAGTCCCTCCGTTCGTACATTTAGTTCTAATATGAGAATCTGTCATTTCAACCAGCGGGGAGACATGGAGTCTGTTGCTCAGTCTTGTTCTTGACTAAGCTTGACGGGTCACCATGTTTCTGGTGAAGGATCCTGCACTAAAGCTTTTTCCTCCCCTCAGCAAGATCAACTGACAGCATTCAGCGGCGCTACACCGTGAAATAGAACACAATAAACACAATAACACTTTTTTTTGCGTCTCGGGGGTTCTGACCAGTCCTGGTCCAACTTGTGTAGCTGATGAAGCAAGGCAAATGTTGCCAGTGACGCCTTGAAGAAGAAAATGTTCTGCAGGAACTTTTCTGACCAAGTCAGCTCCGTGGAAGTGGATCTGCGTGTTCATGACTTCATGTCATGGTGACATGAAAAACATTGCAATGGAAGATGATGAAATATGTTGCCATCTAGGAAAGACAAATATATTTATGAGCAGCTTATGAGCTGTACCTGTTTGGTTTCAGCAGGACAACCTCCTCGTCCTCTGATCTCTGGTTTTGGTGAGATGTAAAAACTGATACACTTTTAATGGATTGAATGTTGTTTTGTTTGAGTCTGTTGGCTGTTTTTAATAGTAAGGAGAAATTTGAAAATATGGTTAAATACAGTTACTGAGTTCAGGTTAAATCACGTTTCTTTAAGTAAGTGGCGTCCAAAATAAGATTTCAAATGGGAATGTTTTCCAAGGACAATGTTCGTTTGTGGCTCTATGAATGTTGTTACATAGACGGCTAAAAGAAAGAAGCAATAAATAGTTTTTTATACTGTTACCACAATAATACCACAAAACAAAATTCTAAGTCCATGTTGCTGTCTTGGATCAATTAATTAAAAAACAATCAAATTTGAGTTAGAATTAAAGTAGTGAACGAATGTCACCGCTGAAATACAAACAGACTATCGACTGAACCAATCACACAGGTTATTATATTCTTGTGCCTTTTGGCTTTCTGTAGTTTTCCTAAATCATTGTTTTAGTCTGCGAGTGTGTGTGAGCTGGACTTTTGCATCCATCAACAAATACTAACGATGGCAATTCATCATTTATATCCGACCCGCTGCTTCAGTTAAGTCATACTTAAAATGGAACAATGTTCTGTTCCTCGACGGCTAGCTTTTGGTAAACATGTTTGGACTGTGATTAGCATAGGGCCAAACAATGAAACCCCAGGATGCTAAGCTAATCTGTTTCATCATCTCTTCATCCATATCCTGCCTCTCCATTCTGCCTGTTCCAAGTGCCAGGTTCTCCTATTGCTTCTCAAACACAGTGGGAAGCTGTGAGCCGTTGCCAAGCCCTCCCAATGCAGTCCTCCCATGCGCATGTGTGAAATTACTCGTCCTAGGCCATATTTTGTCAAAGACTTGACTCGCTTGCGAGCAAACTCCACCCCGTCCCGCGTTACCTGAGAGTTTCCCTCCTTCCATCCCTTCTGACGAGACCGAGTCAGACCACAGGCCGTCTTAGTTCAGTCGCCCGGCAATCAGCCGCTGTGTCAGGGGAACTCTACCGCAATGTGGAACACCAGCCGCGCGCCAGCGGTAATGTAGTGAGGAAGAGCCATGTGCATTAGCCATGCTAATCTCATTAGTGGGGAGGCCATGATTGAATCCTGCAAAGAATCTTGCCACCGCTGCCAGGAAAGACAAGGGGCTTGTATATTATTAAAGGGTTGACACTGTTGTAGAGGGAGAGGGAAAGAAAAGAAGGAAAAACGTAACGAGAAAAAATCAGAGTGGAAGATGGAGTAACTATGGATGTGGAAGCACAGGTAGAAAAGCGTCAGGGAGAGGGAAGAGTTGGTTTTAGTGTGTGCTGAAGAAGATGACTTTTGAAATGCCAGGAATGAAAAAACTCTAATAGATCGACTAGTCTATTGGAGAATAGACTAGTCGATCTTAGAGACTTTGAAATTAGCAGTTTTGGCTCATTAACAAATGAACTTTAAAAATTGGCAATATATCATACATTTTATCAATGTAGTCAGTTGTAATGCTACTAATAATGCCATAAACTATGCTACTAACAAGATGGACATGATCAATTTTATTTTCAAGTGGCAGTATGATGTATTTTCCAGGCATACAGAGCCATTTTATTGCACAATCAAGTAACTATGTTAATGTCGGTTGTTATAAAAATGCTACATATATCAAACTTAAAAGAAATTTGACTTCAAAATTGAGCCTCTGTCTCTTTAAGAAGCTCCTGTTCTTTCTGAAACTCTGCCTTCAGGAAGTCATCACAACGTGACTCCTCTATTAACCCTTTAATAACAGCCGATGTGCTGTTCCACCAGGTGTTTGCTAATGGCTGCTGGCTAGTCTGAAGAAGCTGAGTGGGAGAGTCGCAGGGGAGGATTGCTCTGTGAAGAGGAAGCTGGGTAGCTTAGAAACTGGACCTCAGAGGAGGAGCTTCATCCTCGGAGGCGGGGCTAGGTCTACCCAGGTATTTGCCACGGGAGATTAAAGGATTTACCGCTGCACCATTGCAGTGCCCACAAATGTAAATTATTTTGTCAAAAAAGAAGGATAAGAGGACAGAATTTATAAATCTGCTTTAAGATTGTAACAAAGGCATAAAAAAATAGCATTAGGATCAGACGGATGTAGCGACTGCCTAGTGCTTCATCTGTCCCTAAGTGATCAGAGAAATAAACAACAGGTCAGAATCACTATGACCTTTCTCTGGCATCCCATGAGAGCATACATACAAGAGTTTTTCTTTAGAGCAAAGCAGCAACACATGACTCCTTTGTACAGAGCTTTGGCCCCACAAACTAAAAGTTAACCTTCTCTCCTCATCAACATTTCATCCACATCTCTGTTCTTCCTGGGTTTTTTTCGACCCTTGCTCCAGCTTTCATTTTACTGTCCTTTGATGTCTTCACTTTGTCCACATTCAACAGGTTTCTGTTTCGTCTGCTTCCTTCAGAGGAACAGTTTCATCATATTTGACGTAGATTTAGACGTCTATAACCCACAAGGTTTTAGACGATCCAATTATAGTCGTTGCTCATAGCGTGTGATTTATTGGTGCGTAAACAACAAGTTTGCTTGTTTAGGGGATTCAGTGTCAGTTTGCTTGGTGTTTTCAGTGTTTGTGGATCTCCTTAAATTCTAAGTCAATTATATGACAAGAAATTATACCTCCTAAATGATGTTTCCCATTATTTATCTGCTGTTTATCATTGCTGTAAAAGAAGAAATATTATTCTACAAAATGGATGCATTCTCACCTTACAATACATGCCAGGTTATAGATGCTGAAGCTGGTTGCTATTTGAAAAATGTCCACAGTGTTATGGTTTTTAAATGTCTTGAGATTTTTGTACTTTTGGTTTGATGAGCATTGGCTCATTGATGTGGATGAGAAATGTGATGAACTCCATCCTGAGAATCTGGCCCATTCTGTCCACACACACACACACACACACACACACACACACACACACACACACACTGTACAATACACACTTAACCAACATCTGTTAAGTGTGTATTAACAGATGTTAGTTATCTATATCTGTAACTCTTAGAACGTGTTCATAAGCACATGAACATCGACAGCCGTTTTATGGTTTGTGATTTTAAAATCTCAGTTTTGCCATCAAACCATGACGAATTTGATAGATTTCAGAATGTTTTTCTCTTTTCTCTTGTTAAAAAAATCCCCATCTCTATCTTTGTATTTTTTTTTACAGCAGGTTATCCCTACATCCCTCCATTATCACTTCTTTTGCCCCTTCCTCTCTCAGAGCATGTCCACTTGTACGTTTATTTGGCTTATCGATGTTGTCAGAGGCAACACTCAAAATTGCTTTCATGCCAGAATCATGACGCAGCAGCCAGTAAAATAGTCCCAGTAGGCCGGAGCCGCAGCACTAAACAAGCCTCCGTCTAATCTCTTTAATGCCTCCTCGTGTCACAAAGCGTATATTTACTCAGAGTTTGTTTCTTCCACAGTCACCACAGCACTTTTTCTTTTAATTTAACTTAGTTGACATAAATATTTTTTCCTATGTCCAGGATTTTCCCTCCTCTTTTCTTTGCCTGCATCTTGACTTCATCTAGTTTTTTCAAATGAGTTCCATTTTATTTAAATGTTTGATCTGCAGTTTTTCTTATTCCTTAGTTTTGATGTCTTGCTTTTTGCTTTGTCATTGTTTGGAGTCCTATCTGCTTGACTTGACTTCTTTTTTTATTTTATTTTAGTTAAATTTCCGTGTACCTGTGATGGTCCACTGGCCCATTCACCAAAATCCCATGATAACAATAAGTAGATTTTACTCATATGTAAGTAGTTTTTAGTCATGTAGCACTTTTACCTTCTTTAAATCTAAAAGGGCTTCACACTGAGACAAAAATGAAATATTAAACATGATTTAAGTTAAACATTGAACAAAAAATGTCATGCAGATAATTAAAAACAAACTCAATTATAAAACTTTAGAATTAACTTTCTCCTTTACATTTTTATGTTTGTAATATTCATTTTAGTTTTTTCATTTTTTTTATTACAGGCTTGATCTTCTCACTTTGCGTTATTTTTTTTGCTCTTTCTATTTTACCATTTTTGCTTCTACGTTTAGTCTTTAATTTTAAAAAGAATTCAAATTTTCTCTTCTCTTTCTCTTCTGACCTGATATATGTATTTTCTAACTTACCTTTTTTACTCTGGCTGGTTGGTGATTCATTCATTCATTCAGCCACATATCAGCATAATGACTCAAAGTGCTCTGATTTCCTCTTAGTCTTTTCCTTTATTCTTGCCTGATTCGTCAAATAACTTCTTCCCTCACATCAGGTTGTTATCATTGAACATATTATTTGCTCCGTACTCTCTTTTCTTTTCTGTTCTGTTCAACTTTTGACAAAAAGCCAGGAGAATGTCTTGTACTCAGTTTCATTCCAGTTCTCGTTGCAAATTGGAAAGTTGATCAGAGTTAATGCGCAACGTTG